AACATGCAAACTCCAAATATCGGCATCAAACCCACGACCTCCTTCCGTATACCGAGCGAGGTAGTTAACATCTTGCCACCTTGGTGCCCCATCACCATCTGACAGGACCCCCAATACAAAGGAAGTTACTCACGGCTCTGTGCCTGGCCCTATCCAGTTTTCTCTGTACGTCCTTAAAGACCCTGCACTCACTGTGCAATATTGGCCTTCACATGGCTTTGTCTTGTTGTTGTTGCTGCTGTGTTCGTACGCCGCGGATCTCCATTGTAAAATAGCCGGACATCTGGCTAAATGGGATCATCCGTGTAACAAATGAAATAAACAAAACAAAAATATCAGTCATGTTCAATCCACTGCTGGGTGAAGGCCCCCCCCCACCCTAAACCACCACCACCTCTCGCGATACTGCGATGTCATAATAAATACGTAGTAAATTAACCATAGGGCATTCCCATGGCATGGTACATATATGCGTAAATGTCCAAAGTTATACATTTGCCGTTCGTATACAATAATGCTGCGGTGTTATAGAAGACGTGTCTGTGTGTATTCTTACGAAAAGATTTATTTCTGTACGTCTTCTCGCGCATGTTAAAGCAACCGGTAACGTTTTGCCTCTCGTTACAGGCTGAGGGATAATGATATCCCTTACGACGAATACTGTGAAGATCCAAGATAAAGACAGCAGAATAGAGTAGTAACGCAGACCACTTGTTGACATTTTGTTACATTGAAATTCAAATTGCGACAAATGCCGGCGGCAGCTGTTTACGAGTTTTGCCGGACGTCAGTGTCATCTGTTGACACCCAAGCGGGGGTGAATGCACTTTTTTGTTTTTACACTAACTCAGCTTGCACTAAGAAGACGTACAAGACCAAAGCCATAGCCACTCGTTTGTGCCAAACGGACTCCTAAATCGGTGCTTTACGTGTGTTTTTTTTGTTACGTACGCATGACAGAACGTGTTTTTAAGACGTTTTAAAATGAATTTGCGTGAACTCACGACGACGACGGAGGAGACGTGGCGTTCGTAATGTTCAGCCCGAGACTTGTTACACAGACACGGAGGGGGAAAGTCACTTCCATCTGCCCCCATTCCTCTCTCCACCCAGCAGTATAAAGCCTAAAGGGCCGTCCATAAATGACGTCATGCACCTGGGGGGGGGGAGGGGTCAGACATTTGTGACGATGTGTGACGAGGGGGGGGGGGTTTGAGAAATGTGACGTCACATCAAAATGCGCAACTTTAAATAAATATAGACAACACATTCTACTTAATTAAATAGACTTTTTTTATAAATGTTTTCTTCTACAACATGACAATAGTTTAAAGCGATTTGAAGCATGTTTTTTGGGGGGGTGGGGGGGGGCAGAGCTTTGTGACGTCATATTTGAGGGGGGGGTCTGACTTTTTGTGACGCCGTGTGACGAGGGGGGGGGGGGTCAAAAATCGTCAAAAATCGCGTAACGTCATTTATGGACGGCCCCTAAGTCGATAACAACACAGTCGTATGGTTAAGGTTGGCCTCAGGTGAGGTAAAGTGTTGGTTATTCCACCTTCATTCAAGACGTTACCCAGTGAGGAAGAGTAGGCCAAAACACCCTCTGGATGGGCTGTTCCGTAGCGGCTCTTCGGCCAGCAATGACACGAGCAAAGAATTGCAGGGCTGCACCTCTTACTTTTACAGGTGCACCCCGATATGAGTGACTTCGATTAACGATGGTTCGATATTAGGTTTGCCATAAATTATGTTTCGGTGCGGAAAAAAATCAAACTACAAACTTATAGTAAATGCACGTTATGTGCATGCGTACCTTTTTATACTCTCCCAGGCCATGTGTGACTGGCCGCTGCGTTTTGTAGCCTCGACACTTGAACAGCCGTGTTGAAAAGAGCTTCATAGCTCATCGGATTCCTGCAGTATAAACACAGATTCTGATAAGCCACGCACACCAAGCTCCTGTACCTTCCACCACATTTCACTGGACTCACACCCTCCTAGTAACCCACCCCCCGGTTTCTGGTGAGTAAATAACAGTGTACATTGTTACACGCTTTCATTTAACTCACTGTCTGTTGTTGTTGTATCCTCAAATCTTGTAACTCAATTTTAACCCACTTACCAATGTGGTATTGACTGCAAACTTGGTATACTTATGTCATACTGATGACAATACTATATTCTGTCAACGTAACATATTTTTGTAAACATTCTTTTTTATATGTTATGTTTCGGCTTGGGTCTAATTGTCCACGCTCAACTGACGTTGGCTGTAATTGGCCACGGTCCCTTACGTTATAGAAAGCTTTGGGGCCACTTCCTGAAGTCGTGGAGTTCTTTCATTACTAGTACATTTCATGAAAGCGTGTTTTTTTATATTTTTTTTTTAAATACTCGTCTCGTTATACTTATCCATATATTGCGTTGAAAAGTGTTACCTTTGGTAGCTTCTGGGTTCGATATTTCCTTATGAACGCATCTTACGTTCGATAATGGGGACCTTATGGAAACATCTGTTTCGATATAGAGTAGAATGTTTCACTTCAAGTTCGGGTCTTCAAGAACGCAACCCAAATATATATCGAGGTTTGCCCATACCTCTAAAAGCCTCTTGCCAGAACTGTTTAGTGACGCCTCTGACCAAACCCCTTTAACAATTACTTTACAGGTGAAATCAACGATTGTGTAATTGTCACCGATAGTTACAGCTTCCTCTTGAAAAACGGCGCGTAACTCAACATTCCGTAAAAATTCAACGTAAATTTCCCACGATATATAAAGGAAATGGTTGGGGTTAGGGAGATTATGCTTTCAAACCTCATTATTGTGTCTACACATTTCACTGGTTACATTACATATTTAACACATTCCTGCGGAGGGAGCTGGTAGGAACGTTGGGTTGCTCAGTCAATGGCCAGGGTCAACGGCGGCGTGGTGTATTCCGCAAATGTGCCCGACTGTGAGGGCGGGCACAAGCCGGCGTGAGTAGGTTAAACGTTGAGTTTTATAAGGGCACCACGGGGTGACCAGCCCCTCTCCATCCAGCCCCACCCCTCACATTTTTGTATGCACGACGGACGGACACAATAATCCCCTGTGGGCTGGTGGAACCATGAGGTTCATACCAGTACAATACAACCCATACATGTATTAAAAATCGTAACAGCCTATTTAAGTTAAGAACAATAATAAAGTAATACAAAAGGATTGTTTTCACGTGTTGTGAAATGCTTGAGTGTGGCGTACTGGGTGGGGGCCAAACACAAAAATTCACTTGGACAAGACATTCAGAATGTGCGAGAAGGAGATACTGCTGCTGCTGCTGCCCGTACTTGCACCTCACGCATCGCTACCGAACTTTGCTGCCTAACGACGAAGCTCGCAGCGCGTTATGTCGATAATAGTGCGCACATAAGGGGCCGTCCATAAATGACGTCACGCACCTAGGGGGGGGGGGTCAGACGTTTGTGACGATGTGTGACGAGGAGGGGGGGGGGTTGAGAAATGTGACGTCACATCAAAATGCGCAACTTTAAATAAATATAGACAACACGTTCTACTTAATTCAATTGCATTTTTAATAAATGTTTTCTCCTACATCAGAGTGCAGCGCCACATTAAATACGCACTACAATGATAATAGTTTAAAGCGATTTAAAGAATGTTTTTTTTTTGGGGGGGGGGGGGCAGAGCTTTGTGACGTCATATTTGAGGGGGGGTCTGACTTTTTGTGACGCCGTGTGACGAGGGAGGGGGGGGGTCAAAAATCGTCCAAAATCGCGTGGCGTCATTTATGGACAGCCCCTTAGGAAAATATGGTTGATTACAGAATGAGTCTTAACGGTAACATCAAAACGGAGGTGGTGCAAGGCATTGTTTCGTGTTGTGCACTCACGTGTTTTATCGCTGCAACGTGGCATTGGCATTTCCTCGAGCACATTCTACATTTCTCCTGCACGGTACCCATGCTGCATCCTGAGCCCCCGCCCTGAGAGGCGCGGCATTTGTATTCATACATCAAAATCAGCTCAAGCTTCCCGTGAATCGCGTGGCTTCAGTGTGGCCGTCCCCACTGTGAATCTCTCCCGCTGTCTCCGCCCCCTCTAAAAACAGACGCTGTTCCATGCAGCTCACCACTGCTTGCTCCCAGTAGACTCGCACACGTGCAGCGGGGTCTTGGTGCAGTGGAAACTCTTGGCCCAGTCATTCCTTCTCCCCTCCCCTACTTCCTGCTGCTGGTCTTTACGCATTGGGATCCTAAGGATGGAATGCGCATTATAAATTTAAAATGATTATTATCTTGAGCCCTGCCCGCCGCTTTGCATTTCGTGACGCCATTTGGCTCTGATAGTGTGCCACGATAAACAGGTTTTCTGAAAATGTTAAGACAAGATATACCGGGAAATCAACATTGTAATATACACCATTGAGCTTCGTTACATAATATATACACGTGTATAAATGTCGCTTAAAATAAAAAAATAAATATTTTTACTAAAACGTAGGGTTTCGTAGCCAACCCAATGATCCGCATTTGTTTCGGGGTTAGGCCACGTAACAGTTTTACGCGAAATGTTTTTTTTATTATTATTTCCCGCGCTTTTCCCACCACGTGCTCGGTGACCAAAACGCGCACGTGCCACACAGCCCTAACGCCCCCCCCGCCCCTCTTACCACCGCTGTTGGCGCATGCGCAGTCGCAGCTCGGCTCTACGCGCGAGCCCATTCGCTGACGCCGTCGGCCAATCGGATTGCGCGCAAATCGAGCGGGAGTCGAGCGAGCGAGCGCGCGCGCGCCGTCAAAAGCCGGTGAGGTCATCGAACGGGCGGGGTCCGTTATACTCGGCGGCCATCTTAGTAAGGTTGAATCGGCTTCAGGAGCGAAGCCCGAGAGCCCCCCCCCCACCCTCTCGGTTGATGACGTACGCGACACCTCTTCGCCGCTCAATGAATGATTCTCGACCCTCACGTAACATGGCCGCCCGGGTGACTTCACCGTCCACCGGCGGCGCGGTTTTTATTGCTCGCGCGGGCTGAGCGCGCGGGCGGTGCTTTCTGGAGTCGGGGTGGAGGAGCGCGGAGCCATGGCGGAGCAGGAGGCCTTCTTCCAGCAGCTGCTCACCAACCTCATGAGCCCCGACAATGGCGTTCGCAAGCAAGCCGAGGTGAGAAAGCGGCGGGTGGTGGTGGGGGTGGGGGGAAATCGGGAGTTTTGTTTTTTTCGCCGAGTGGGAGAAGCCTTTGGCGCGCGTCTCTAGCCTCGGCCTCCTCCTCCTCTACTCGGAAGGCCGCGGCCTGGTTCACGTGTGAATTCCTATTAGCAGTTTGCGTCGGCGATGGACAATTAACACAATTTCGAGTGCGTGTTCTTTCGCGGGGTTGTTTTGTTTAGTTTGTTTGGGAGGTCGTTGCTAGCTCGGTACAATTTAGGGTGAAGTATGTCCCGCGACTCGGCGCGCCGACAAAACGCGTGGGGGGGAGGGAGGGCCTGTTCAGTCACCGGCGTGGCGCCCATTGCATTTCCCACCGTCGATAAGCGCCGCCGTCGCCCATTGGCCGCGGCGGAGGCCTCTCAGCCAATGGGACGAGCGCGTCTTGAGGTCGCGCGCGTTGCAGCCAATGGGTGAAGCGGGATGGCTCGCGGCCGCGCTTATGTGGACTATGAGATGTGGCGGCTTGACAGCAGTGACTTGGGGTGCGTGCGTGGGGGTTTTAAATTGTTCTTTAAAATAAAATAAAAATGTAATCGCGCTTTCTGGGCAAAGGACCGAAACGCTAAACAGTCCACAACAAACATCACCATCCTTAAAAGTTGTCACTTCTTCCAACGCACACCGGTGTGCTGTGCTGGTAACGAATTGGCCACGTTCAGTTCACGTGACAACCCTTAACTAATTGGCCGTGTCGGGTGGTGGCGGGTTTAACGACACATTTATCGATATTGGTCGCGAAAGTCGTCTCCGTGTTAAACATAGAGAAGAGTTCACAATGATGGCGAGGTGGTGGGGGGGGGGGTGGGTGACGACTTGGATGGGGTGCGTGCGTGACAGCGTTGGGCCTTTCCCCTAGGTCGACTCAGCCTCAAATTAGTACCTGGTGCGGTGTGTAAACATCGCCACTGGGGAGACAAAGGCGGCCGGGCGTGGTGTTGGCCACCCACCCCCTCGTGTACCGTGCCGGCTTTCATAGGTGCTCGCTAACAGCACTTGCCCCAACATTCTGCTCAGGCTATACGGGGAATCTTTCTATTTGTGGCGTCCGCTCCTGATTAATCTTTAAGTTCGAGTATTACTCGTTTCTTTAGAACTGCTTTTTGTGTAATGTGTTTAGTTTGTTGTCCCACCCCCGCACGCTTGGTTACGTACGGTGCGAAAAAAGTTCAACATACAGTACATGTCGTGGGGTAATAGTATGGAATAGAGTATGAAGGGGATGACTGCATGAGTGGTAGCATGGACGAGGGTGATATCATGGACGTGGTGACATGATAGATAGATAGCATGGGTGACGGCGCAAACGGGTTGATATCATAGAGGGGGTGACAGCTCTGAGGGAGGCATGGCAGTGTAGACGGCGTGGAGGACGTGGAGCACATTGAAGGAGGTGGTCACATGGAGGGAGTGACGGGGGAGGAATTACGCCAGAGATTTACATCGGTGGGGTGGGGGTGGGTGACAGCATGAAAGTGGAGGCTGCGTGGTTGTTGACAAGATACACTATATATATAGTGGCATTTTGTGTTACATTAACATAGCGGGGAGCGACGGTGTGGGTGACATCACGGAGGGGAGGGCAGCGTGGAACAGCGTGTAATGGCATGGGTCGCACAGTATGCAGACGATGACACACACTGCATAAAGGGGTCAACAGCACTGGCGAAAGTGTCGAGAAAGTTGAGAGCCTGCAGAGGTTGACGGCTCGTACGAGTGAGGAGCTTATCGGAGTTGCATTGCGGTTGACAGCCAACCGGAGGAATCGGTGTGCAGTGGTGATAGCAACTGGTGGCGTGGTTGTGGCTGGAGTACATCAACCATACCATTGGAACCTCCTTTGCCAGTAGCAAAATATGATAATTGTTTTTTTACCCTTTTATCTGGCAACAAAAATGGTGTAAATGTTTACCCCGAGCTCTCATACTCTGATGGTGCATTGTCTTTGAGTTGTGCGCCTTGTGGCGTCATCTGGTCCAACACCATGTGAGACTAGGCTCTAAGAAAAGCTGTCTCGGGTGTGGACCAATCAATTTCAAGGACAGTGCATACATTATCAGAGTTGTGTTTTTTGTTTGTATTCCGACCGCAGGTATTGTGGTCAATGCAAACATGACTACATCAACCATGTTGGAGCAAAAGGAGGGAATAACGTAATATTGAACTACTCTAGTTGTGGAACAGCTTGCAGAGGACACGGCATACGGAGGGGAGATGGCATGGAGTGTTCGTAGAGAGGATCTCCATGCGGGATATGGGCATCGCTTATGACCGATTGATGGCGGAGGGCATTGCAGGACATTGTGCGAGTGGGAGGTAGGGCTTTCAGAGTGGACTCTGATTAAGTTGGAGTCCTTATTCGAGAAAGGGATAACAGAGCAGGGAACAGAATGTGTTTGGAGATGCAGCAAACAGTTGGGGCTTTAGACCTTACCGCAAGAAATACCAGTGCATGAGACGTGATGTTTCTGTAACATATCAGTCGTTGTAATGGATCAAGGCCTGTGTTTATAACCAAGTGAGAGTCCATTGAGAACTGTCCGATGAGGATCTCCACAATGTCTTTATCCCTTGCGACTCCAACTTGCCCCTCATTCCTAAATGTATATACTGTGTACATATTAATTATATCCGACCAGGTTTGTTTCATGTTTTGCCGCAAGAATGTGTGGCTAATGCGGACTTGATGTCTTTTTAATAGGTATCTATTTGGTGTTTGAACATTTTAGCGCCAGTTTTATTTCAAAAGGGTAAAAGCCTATTTTATTTTTTTCATACTAGATGCAGTTTGTAAAACGGACGTTATAAATTTGGATTGTAGACACCATTCAATACAGTACATATAGTGTTCCCTTCGGTTGGCTGCCCATTGGGACTGGGTTTGTCTTCGTATAGTTGTGTATCAAGTCAAGTTGTGTACACGTGGTGCTGTATCGTTACTGGAAGTACATTGTGCCTTGCACGGTTGGCTTCTATTGGCCAAGTGTCACAGAAGATTTAGTGTGGGTAGGGAGAGAAATGGCTTGCTTGGTCAGACCTTAATTTAAATGACTGTGTAGGTGATACGGTCTTTTATGGGTGTTATTCAATATGTTTGCTGAATCATGCCTGCTTGTCTGTGTCGTGTAATGTTTGTTTTGGCATTAAAGCCGCACATGATCCTGCGTCCGTTCTACAGCACCATAGACATACAAGATAATTTTCTTGCCTCAAGCTATTTGAATAAAATGCAGAGTAACGGACGTAGAATTAGTTTCGTCAGTTATATTCATGATTTGTAATTTCCTCTGCAGCTCGCGTTCTCATTGTACGGTGAAAGGTCCTTTCAAAATGTTGAACAAATAAATCCCAAATCGATGATTTGGGATTTGTTATGTACTTGCACTTTCCATGGTATTTCATGTGATGTATTTTTCTACAGTTATTCACAAATGCATTTCACAGTACTTGTGTGGAGCACTAAATTGGCAATGGACTCGCTAGAACACGGTTCAGTTTGGTTTTCAAGAATAATTTCCCATGGAACAATCGCATCTATTGAATCACCCAAGGGTGCCTTTTGTTAAGATTGTGTTATTACTATAGTTGAGTTGATAATCATCCATATTCCTGCATCCAAGGTATGATACATACACTTACAACACGAGTTGAAAATCATAAATTCCATTTGAAAATTTTGTTTAACGTGTAAGTATGTTTGTTTATTGTGTACGATATGGGTAAGGGTGGAGCGGTGGCATAGTGGGGTTAGTGCATTGTGCTATGAACCCTGACCCGCGTTTGATTTCAGGCCACGTCTAATATCAGTGGCGAGTGATGTTTGGACCAGCCATCCCTTACCTTTTCAATTTGTTTACTTGGTGCCGGATAGCATTCGTCTGGAAAGCCAAAGGCCGATGACTAAAAACATTATTTTATTTGTATGTGGAGACACAATGTGGTGAAGCATGGTCAATCAACCCCCATGACCGACACGGCATAGAGAGGCCTCCGTCCAGTCGAGGATTGAGTGAAAAATAGCCATCATTTAATTATGAAATGTTCTGTGTTTAGTTCAGAAAGCTATTGACATCGCAAAAAACGCACTTTTTTTGGGTAACAAACACCATAACCGAAACTGGTTCTGTGAATTTAAAGATTACCAACGCAAGGAGTTTGGTCACAAATGTGATGACAAAGCCAAAGGGCTGTCTTCTCCATTTAGCAAAATGGTCACAAATATCTCGCGGTATATGTGTCGGCAAACCTCGAGCACATGGGGAACTGCCTCTTGTCATCAAAACTTCAAAGCCGGAATGAGCTTTGGTCACTGTTTAGGAACTTGCCATTATTATTTAAATGTGTGCAGGCACCCATGGCGGGGGCGGGAGGTGGGGGGGCGCTGGTTATTGTGCACAGCTATTCAACCAGTGAAAGGGATTAGGCCTCAGTCCAATTTGGTGATAAAAAAAGGGGAGAGGAGAAAAATTTACCCATGGTCAGCTGTTCATTCTGTCTAACCCTTGATCCATTATGGGTCAAGCGGAATCTAGAAAATTGTAGGTTTTGCTTGATGAAATGAACCCGTTGGTGCTCCCATAGCACCCACAAACTTGATTATTGCGTACTATTATTTGGCAATGACGATCATGTGTTTTATCCAGAAACAACTTTGCATGGTCTCAAGACGTTTTCAGGATGATGCAGCATCACAATGTTGGGCTAGTTCATATTTTTTTACCAAAGCTGGAGTAGAGAAAAGTAAGAGTACTTTACAGAAACCCCTTCTGTACACCAGGGGAAAATTCACAAACTCACATATGATCTCCTGGCCCCATCACACGCAAGCATGCTTTTTGGGGGTTTCATAAATATGCGCGTGATAAATGGAAATCATGCGTTACGCTTTAGTTTGTAATTATGGTTGACTTGACATTGTTGGATGGTGCCTCCCTTACACCTCACAGGTTGAGCAAATTATTTTGCCATACTGCACCACGTGTGTCAGTGCAGATCAGTGAAGACGGGACCATAGAAGTACATTACAATGACGAATTATGCTGAATTGGCCTCTGCTGCCTACAACAGCTGTTTTGCACATGCTGGACGCCCATCCAAGTACTCTCCGGGATAAACCTTGCTTTGCTTCCAAGATCCTGACAATCAAGTCCATTCAGGGTGATCTGGTCGTAGGCAGGCTATCCAACACGACTAATTTATCGGCTGGCTCGTACCAATATTGTGGGGGAGGCTAATGTAAAGCAGAATTGAGTGAACTTGAATCCCCCTTCACAGCGATATTTTTGGGTGCGTGCTTCGTCATTACTCTTGTGTCGAATGGTCGGCTCGCATGCGCTGATTGATGGCTGCCCTCCTGCCTAGCGTGCTGTTCCAGAACATCGTGCAGCCCAATCGTAGCCAATCGGCAAGAGTACATCGAAGTCTTCAGATTTGCCTTCTACCAATTCACCGAATCCATCCCATCTGATCAGATTTCGGAAGCTAAGCAGAGCTGAGCATCAGTTGCTTGATTTTTTTTTTCGATGAATAATATTATATAGCATCTTCCATGCAAATTGCATCTCACAATTTCAGAGGAACCACAGACAAAGCTGGAAGGTTGCCAGGTAGGTGAGCCACCACCAGCAATTGCTCTGCAGTTCTTTATATTAAGATGGTTTCAGCCAATTTGTGAGTTTATACGTGTGGGAGGAAACTTCCGCATGCGATAGGGAAACGCTCTACCCCATGCAGAAGGGACATGATATCGGTCCGCACTTTGCTGTATTGAATTCTGCTGGCAAGCCAGGTTATTGCACATCGATGCCAACAGAGAAGGGAGTCTCGCAACATTTTGTAATTTGCCCGATCCACTAACCGTTGTTCCCTCCACAAGCGATGTCTTAGAATATCAGGTTTTGTTGGCTATCTCTAGGGTTAGGTGGCAGTGCAGCTATTGGCTTCGCCAACATAAATATTCCATGGATTTGGTCTGTCTTTGGAGTGAATATATCTGTACAGAGCGTTGAGTGGTTTCCTCTCATTTGCACTTTATTTTTATCCAATACCCTGTTTATGCATGGTGAACGTATACTTTTCTAAAGATTTTTCACATGGCAGAATTTGTATCACGTCCACCTATATAGCTCATTCCCCAGCTAGTGTCGTATGCAATGTTGTATTGCACATCACAGATGTACCCTGCAACATAAAGGACAATGCACTGTGTATCGTAAGTCGTTTCCATATTTTTCAGCAGAGGAGCGAACTATGACATTTAAAGTCTTAAGTGATTGACGTGTGACATGCGTGTTTGCGACTTCTTTCTTCTCTCTAGGAAGCGTATGAAGCCATTCCTGGGCCTTCAAAGTTGTCCTTCCTCATGAGCGCCGTGAGGAATGGATCTGGTGCAGAAGAGGTGGGTGTTTTCCCGTGCCCTTGTCACCTGTCTTCGTATGCTGGGGTATTGCTTGAGAACGCGACCGATGCAGTCGACTGTCAGTTGCTGTAACGCTGCCACATGCTGCCCATTAATGTGCGGTGTAGAAGTGGTGGTGTTTTATCCATTCATCCTCTACGATCGGTTTAATGGGGTGCCACAGTGGCGAGATGTTAACTACCTCGCGTGGTATGCAGGAGGTCTTGGGTTTGATCCTGTTCATGACACCTTTCTGTTTGGAGTTTGCACATCTCTCTCTCCGTGAACTCCGGGTCCTCCAGTTCCCCCCCCTACATTTAGAATCAACATCACGTGTTTAGAGTATTTGGCTGCTATAAATTTCCACATGACAAGCCACTTCGTTGAGCTGTCATTTGTGTCCAAGTCGCTTCTGACAAAAATCTATATAGCTCAGTGGGCCTTCCTTGGTAAAATGAAAATATTTCGTAGTTTAATGACGAGGCCGTTGGGGCACCGTGCTCATGATCTTCCAACACCTTGCTTGGTGCTCCGACTCAAGGATCAGCTGGTTGCGGTGGAAGTCTGTCCACTCTGTGCCATTCTGAGCAGAAGTTTTTCTTTGGGGCCATTTTCCTAGTCCCCTCAATGACACCTTGGAGGATGATTTTGGCTAGTTTTTTAGATCTATTGATGTGCAAAAATAATTCTAGTTTTTATTGTGTCATAGTGCCTAGGATTCGTTCTTTTTTTCCTGATCAAGTGGTAATTGTGCTCCATACTCGTATTCTTTGGGTCTTTCGGTAAAGTCACGTAGATAGGTTCAAAGAGAAGAACAAAAAACTACGACGTTTCGATCGCAACACAAGCGATTGTCATCAGGAAAAGATTTCTCCATACGCGTGTTTGTTGGTTATATCTGCTGGCCATGTGTGTTTTGTAATATTCCTCAATGCGTAGTGGAGACCGTATTGGGGTCAGTGAACCCCAATGAAGTTACATTATCAACGTTACGACATGCGCGGCACGTAGCAGTGCACCGTTGCATCGATTAAAATATATTCTTCCGTTTGCGATGCGTGCGTGAAATCGTGCGTGTGAGAATTGTTAACGCTGTCTTCTCATATTTCGTATGTGATTGGTTTGTGACTCCCCGCAGCAACGAGAGGTGCTGCGTGTACAACAATTATTTTTTAGCTAAATTATTCATTCTTGAAACAAAAGTGCAACTTGGAATCTAGATAGTTTTCATTGAATCGTTATATGCCTATCTCATGAACACGTTTTACATTAATAATTCAAGGAACATTCTTGCCGCTTTAGTTTCAGGATTCAATACCTATACAAAACTTTTGGTGCTTTTGTGTGTTTGAACAGCAGTTGCCCAAATGTTAAGAAGCCTACAGGGGCAGCCTGAACTGAGCCTTAGCCACCATTACTTGAATTAGTTTCCCTATCACACTCCCCGTCCCTGTGAGCACCTTGTTTGCACAGCGGTTGGATTTGCTCCTTGACCCTAAGCGTGCGGCCTTCCCTTCCAGTGTATTAGAGTAGTTGGCATGGGCACTGGTGCAAGGAATTAAATACCCCCCCCCACCCCGTCCAATCTACTCCACTTTTGGCAGTCAAGCACACTTGGATTCCTCTGGCACGTGGGTGCTAGTGCAGTAAACGCGCACTCGATGGCAGTTGCCACCGACTCCATTCCTGCATCGCCTCTCTCCATCCCCACTCTTACCTCCCCATCCCTTCCGCCATCTATACATTCTTCTCCCCCCATATCTTCCTCCATCCTCTATCTGCCCATTCCTCCTTCCACGTAAGCAACGCAGAAGTCCGGAATAGAACACACCGTAGGTAAGTGTTGTCGATGTGAATAGGCAAAAACGGTTCCGCTTGGTTGGGTCATGTGTGCAAGGTAGGGGAGTACCAATGTTGGCCTCCACGGGTCCAGTGACCAAGGGGAAGAGAAGACCTAAAATTAAATAGTGGGATACAGTTCGGAAAAATGTTGGAGGTCGCGTGTTGTGGGATCTGCCAGAGGCGTTGGCGAGGTGTGGCAGCATCAACGGCGATGGCCACGATGATGTCTTGACCTCCATCCAACTCTCCATCCCTCCCATTATCTCCCCCTACGTGCATCCATACTTCCCCCATCCCTGGTGCGTTTTCCATCAACCGCACACGCTCACGTTTTGCCCATCCCCCGTCGCATTGCTATGTCCGCGTGCGCCAACATGCAGACACGACAGATGGCGGCGGTGCTCGCTCGACGGCTGCTGTCCTCGTCGTTCGAGGAGGTGCACCCGGCGCTGCCCCCCGAGCTGCAGCTCGCCCTGCGCCAGCAGCTGCTGCTGGGCGCCCAGGACGCCTCGCTAAGCCCGAACCTGCGCGCCAAGATCAGCGACATCATCGCTGAGCTCGCCCGCAACCTCATCGGTAACGATCATCGACATCCTCATCAGAATCCACTGCTGGGTGAAGGTCTCCCCAAGCCGCCGCTGCCGCCACCTTTCGCGATCCGGCGATGTAACGATCCATTCGGCACCTGCACATGAACTGATTTCATAGCTCCATCTCCGCCGCGTTCCATTCCTTGGCTGCCACTCCGTTGTTATTCTTGACTATCCTCCATGTCCTGCCCAAGTCCACAAAAGTTTGGACAACGTCATTAACTTATGTTCTTTAATTCGTGTGTTCATCTTCCTGTCACTGTAATTCCAAGCACGGGTCTCAACTTGCTCCTTTGCGTACTTTTCCGCTTTTGTTCCATCTGTAACAATACTTGGTATATTCTTTGCTCAAGAAATTACTTTTTAGTAATTTTTGTTTCTTAGAGGTTTTTTTTTCTCGCTCTCGTTTTGTTTCACAGACGACGATGGAAACAACCAGTGGCCAGAGGTGCTGAAGTTCCTCTTTGACTGTGTGAGCTCCCAGAATCCCCTGCTGCGAGAGGCTGCCCTACACATTTTCTGGTAACGGGACACACTCCTATTGCTGATGCGTCATCACCATATGTTTTATCCATTTCCCTATTTGTAGTACAGTTGTGTTGTTGTTTTGTCATGAGACAAAGTATCCATTGTGAACACTCATAGCATTGCAAACACTTGTGATGGAAAACTAAACTATTTTTATTATAGCAGGTAAGGCCCACTGATTTATATAGCTTTTTTCCAGAATTGATAACTTCATAAAGCGGCTCATCATGTGGAAATTTATAGCAGCTAATTACTCTAAACGCGTGAAGTTGATTCTAAATGTGGAGGGAAAAACCAGAGGACCCAGAGAAAAATCCACACAACTACGGGGAAAACATGCAAATTCTAAATATACAGGCATCAGGGTTGGGATTGAACCCATAGCCTCCTGTATACCAGGCGAGGTAGTTAACATCTCGCCACCATGGAAGAAGATTTGGAAGAGCCACATCTGACATACCTTCACCTGACCTTTGAGCTAAGTGTTGTCTAGCAAACACTGTTAGTTAATGCCAGGGGAAACAATCTCAACTGTTCTTCCCAAGTTATGGATCAAGAACTCTCACGTGGAGTTTGGCATAATTTACATGTTTTATATTATCCGTTATATCCGGACGACCCTTCCCCACCCCCCCATTGCCTGCTGCTTTGCACTAAACACAACATTTTTGTTTTAATTTCTCCATGCAGGAATTTCCCCGGAATCTTTGGCAATCAGCAGCAGCACTACATTGACGTGATCAAGCAGATGCTGGTCCAGTGCATCCAGGATCAAGGAAAACCCCAAGGTGTGGAACACGTGCAGTGAACTCTATCGGTTATGAGCGCCACGATACGGCGGTACGGCGCATTGTCCTATTGTTAAAGTACAACAACAAATTAATTTATCCGTTCTGAAAAATATTATCTTATCATTGGGAATTAACTTTATATATATATGATTTCTTGTTTTTTTTCTGTTTTCAAATTAGCAAAATACAATTAACATTGTAAATAAATAGCTATGGATGCTGCCATGGTTTAGGGATTAGCACACTTGACTTGCAATCCGCAGGTCCACTCATTTGTTATCCCAGAGCGGCAGATGAAACCGTGGGCAAGTCTGTATCGATGTGTACACGGCAGCTGATGGGCTGGTAGCATGTTCTGGGGTAAAGTGTGGATACTCCCACAATCTTCGAAGATGTCTGGCCTTCTGAGAAGAGTAGCCCAATACCCCTCGAGAGGGTCTCTAGAGCTTCCCCGAGTGAAGGCCATTACGGCAGTTGTGGTGTGAGCAAGCAATTGCAGTGCTGCATCTTTAGAATGTTTATATGAACACATTCCTGCTGAGGGAGCTGGTAGGAACGTTGGGTTGCTCGGTCAATGGCCAGGGTCAACGGCGGCGTGGTGTATTCCGCAAATATGCCCGACTGTAAGGAAGGGCACAAGCCGGCGTGAGTAGGTTAAACGTTGAGTTTTATAAGGGCACCACGGGGTGACCAGCCCCTCCCCACCCAGCCCCACCCCACCCTCCCCTCCCCACCCAGCCCCTCCCCACCCAGCCCCTCCCTCCCCACCTAGCCCCTCCCTGCACGACGGACACAATAATCCCCTGTGGGCTGGTGTAACCAGGAGGTTCCTACCAGTATGACATTGTATCATGTCGTATCATGGACTATTATCTCACGACAACCATAGTAAACTCATCAGCTGTTTTTATCCAATAATAATCCAGCTGAGTACACTTCCAATTGGATACACAGCTCCTTCACAAAGCGCAATCTGCCAGGCACACTGAAATGTGCCACCAGTCTCAACTTATTTACGTCTTTAATTCCATCGCACGCAACATTTACAACTGTTACAGCCGGAGTACATTCTACGTGCACTGGCGATGAGCACACTTTCATTCTGTGTATTTATGTATACATTGTACAAATACATACTTTATATTTTGTCGATATTTTTAAAAAAAGTTTGCATACGTGTCATTACTTGCTTGCTATGTATGCGGCAATTGACAACCCTGGACACCCTTGCAAACGGGATGTTCCATCTCAAGGGAATATACAGGTGGAATGTTTAGAAAGTGTCAGGGCCAACAATTGCACGCATTGATCCTAAAAAACGATTGCTGGCTCAGCACAAATATGTTAGCAGCCCTTCTGCAGGCATGCCTCATAAATAGCTAGCATTGTACTGGCGTGCGGTCGGCTGCATTGCGATTCACTCACTGCAGCGATTCAGAGTGAAGTGAGCCATTGCACTTGTTTGTACCTTAACTTGCCCCCTTCTTTATGTAGACAAGTGTGGGGTTTGTTCAAACTGAAGAAATGTGCACCACATGGCCCCAAGGGGGTTGAATGGCTAGTCATAAATATGACTTGATTCATTGGCAAGCTCCAATGAAATACCAATCCTGTATCGAGCAAGTAGCAGTCCGATTCGAAACCTGGGTTAGTATTTACATCTGCAAGCTACTACTGCTCACTGTGTAACGTACCAATTTTACTTGCCAATTGATGCATAGCATTGTGACTTAAGATCCTGGTTTGGCTGCATACCACATTTCTGTTGTGTTGCTCATTTGTGCCCAGCTGGTTCACATGTCGTTCATAATTAAATGCCGTATGCTATTATTTAATTTATTATTTTATCTTTATACGTGACTTTACCGAAAGAACCAAAGTGTATAAACTTTTATTGAGGCTCTTGACTAGTTTGCAGGAGATTCATACGGTGACATATTTGGCAAATTATTTTGAGTAGTTTTTATTTTTTATTTTGATAGATATCGCTTTCTCATGCACCAACATTTTGCCTTCACAGTGCTACATTACAAGGTTATTTTAACACATTCCTGCGAAGGGAGCTGGTAGGAACGTTGGGTTGCTCGGTCAATGGCCAGGGTCAATGACGGCGTGGTGTATTTCGCAAATATGGCCGACTGAGGGCGGGCACAAGCCGGCGTGAGTAGGTTAAACGTTGAGTTTTATAAGGGCACCACGGGGTGACCAGCCCCTCCCCGCCCAGCCCCACCCCTCCCACCCACCACCCAGCACCACCCTCCCCACCCAGCCCCTCCCCTCTCTACTCAGCCCCACCCCTCCCATTTTTGGATGCACGACGGACGGACGGACACAATAATCCCCTGTGGGCTGGTGGAACCAGGAGGTTCCTACCAGTTTCATACGGTGCAACATTGCATATCTGACTCACTGGGGACTGAGGTTTAGGCCGAAGTGAAAAGGTCAGGTTTTTTAACATCCATAGCAAATAACAGTCACTCCATTCACAACTATGCTACCTAGAAAATAAAGTGCATACTGCTTTAAACATATGGATATACATTACTGTACTTTAGAAGTTAGGAAATGTGCTTGAGATTAAAAATACATCAATGTCGAATTTGTTAACGTCTGTTTTAATACTGCACTGGGCTTGGACGTTTAATTGGTTAGGGTGGGATATTGGGCCGTGTGATATGTGATGTTGTACTATAATGAGTACCACTTAGTGTGAAAGTCAACAGTGGTTGTCCTATGGGGAGACTCGCCCTTGCTGGAGGAATGTGGAATTGCCACCACTGGCTCTTCAGGGCTGTAACTAGGAGATGAGCACCGATGCCTCAGAGCTCATTGGAGCAGGCAATAACTTTAACTTTTGAGTGTACTTGATGTTCGTGTGCGATTGATATAAGTTTTGTTTGGACTGGGAATGTCCCTGCAGGTTCGGATTCAAGCGGCCAAGGCGACTGCCTCCTTCGTGCTGTCTCAGGAGCATCTTCCCGTCCAGAAGCACTTTGCAGACCTCCTGCCCGGAATTTTGCAAGTACGTGGGCCCCTTCACAGCAACGACCGCAATGACGACCTGCGTTGAAAGTGCCTCTGAACGTAAAACAAACGTAACAAATACAAATTAGGAAACGGAAGGGAATTAGAGGAAGCGTGCAAGGGAAGGGGAGAAAATAAGCCATTCAGGATGTCTGAAAGCATAAGGTTTAAAATGATAGATGTTCGTAGAAATGTCTTCTTGTCCTGTGGCATAAGTGAATAGCAACGTAGAGATCTATATCCATGTTTGAAAGGGATGTAAAAGCTGCAGGGGTGAGGCTGAATGAAGTGCTGCAGAAGTTCACAATGCCTTCCGTGGTTCCGTCAGGGTCGGTGCAGTCGCACTTGCGGGGCTTCCTTTCATTTTCCACTTACGAAGGTGGTGACAAGATGTGGCACCGTGAGTCGTGTGGATTCGATTGAGAGTCACGTGCTCCACTCTTTTCAGAGAAGGGCCGATACCAAGTGGTGGTTCGTGGTCGCTTCCAATGTCCGACAATTTGGTTTAAAATTCAATGTTATATTCTTACGTTGTCAATGGGGACTGCGCCAAGACCATCAACTCGCTTCACTCGCAAATGCAGTTCAATCAAAGAGGTGGCTGGAACCCGGGTTCGATCCCAGGCCCTCGTCCGTGCTTGCCGACGTGACATCTTCGACGCGGCGTTAGCGCCCAGCGACATCGGTGCTTTATTGTCTTTTGGTGGCGTAGGCGGTGAAGGACTCCCTTCTCTTGCTCGACGACGACTCGGTGCTTAAGTCCCTCGTGGACCTCGCCGACACCTGCCCCAAGTACCTCAAGGGCCACCTGGAGGACACCTTGAAGCTCGCCCTGCAGGTCCGTGCTCGCATCACGGCACCGCCAAGCGGTGACGCGTCGGTCCGGTCGACGACAATGGAGACGTCGCCGGCGAGCGGCGAAGTGTCGTGTTTAGTGTTGTTAAACACCAGTGAGTGGAGTATGTTTAACCCTTTTTCGTTCTTATTACGGATTTGTACGTCATCAGTTTTTCTTCCAATTCCTTTCCGATGACGTAAGTGTACATCATTAAAACGTAACCGGAAGAAAAAAATAATTTACTTTATTGGTACCAAGGCTCCGACAAGACCATGCAGGAGGGCGTGTGGCACAATTCCGCACCAGCTATCATAGAGTGCAATTGTGTCGCTAGAGTTTCCTGCGGTGAGTACAATTTTTAAAAAACGACGTTATGCCTTTTTAAATTAAATGAACACCGAGCCGCTTTAGCATTTCGAGATTCAGAGGTGAATGGGACCCCCCATCCTCCAACTTGCAGATGTCTCGGAATGGGAAAGGGTTAATTGCATTTGTATATCCCGTAAATACGCGTCGTGTTTTTCGTGATAGACGTTAAAAGTTTCGTGGCATTATTTAATAAGAAAACAGGAAGCCGTGTGTGCTGGCGTCACGGTCTGTATTTTCCACATTTGACAAATCGCTGTGCCATTTGGCCGCACCGATCGACAGCATAAGAATCGACTGATCGGTTTGTCGTCAATGGTTTTTTTTTTAATTCACGGTGACCGAGCAAAAAATCCTTTTGCAGATCTGCGAGGATAGCAACATGGGCAACATGAGGAGGCACCTGGGCCTGGAGGTGATTGTGACACTGGCCGAGGCCGCCCCGGCCATGTTGCGAAAGCAGAAGGAAATCATCTCGTTGGCAGGTAAAATGAGCAGAAACTAGATTTTCTCCAGAGAAGGTGTGGTGTGTAAGGGGTGGCCGTGGTGGTGAGATGTTTACTACCTCGCCTGGTATGCAGGAGGTTGTGTCTGGTTTGTTAGTGATGTGGGTAGTCGGATTGCGCCCGTGTGTGTGTGTACGCGATGTGCTAGGAAACAGGCGACCCGGGTTCGATTCCCGCTTATAGTCTAGTCAACACCTGTGACGATTATCTGAACCGGTCCTGGGCCTCCCCTAGGTTTACTCGACCTAAAATGAGTACCTGGTGCGGTGTGTAAACATCGCCACCGGGGAGACAAAGGCAACCAGGCGTGGTGTTGGCCACCCACTCCCTCGTGTGCCGTGTCGCCCGTCATAGGTGATCGCTAACAGCACTTGCTCCTACAGTCTGTTAAGGCTATACGGGGGATCTTTGTCTTATTGGACGTTGCTGCCCCCATGTGACAGTCATTCGGATGCTCGACCTCATGGTGGATCTGGAGGACAACGAGCTGTGGTCGACGTGCGACGAGCTGGAGGACGAAGACTACGACAGGTTCGCAAGCACTTTCTCTCGACAAAGGCTCCCCCATGGTGGAGAAATATTAACTACCTTGGCTGGTATGCAGGAGGTTGTGGGTTCGATTCCGACCCTGATGCCTGCTGTTGTATATTTTGAATTTGCATGTCTCTCTCCCCTTGGCCGCATGCATTTTTCTCCGGGTCCTCTGGTTTTTCCCTCCACATTTAGAAACGTGCGTTGCGAGTGTTTGACTGCTGTAAATTTACAAGTGATAAGTTACTTCGTTGAGCTATCATTTGTGGCCAAAGTCGCTTCTGAAAAAGATCTGCATAGCTCAGTGGGCCTTCCTTACCTGGTAAAATAAAAATTGTTTGGTTCGGTCACATGACGCCTACTGTTTTCATGAGCCTAAATCAGGGGATCAGCAACCGAAATAAAAAGAAGAGCTGTTATTTTCGACTTTGGTAAAAAAAACATTTTAAGAGCCGCAGTGCAATGTGTGGCGAATACGAGACGGTGATCCTTAATAAGTAACGTCACGAAGCGGCCCTTGAAGAGTCACAGGTTTGCCGACCCCTGGCCTAAATGTTACATTAGTTTATCATTTGCGCAAGATCTGTGTAAACTGTAGATAATCGATTGTTGCACGTGCGATCCCGCGCACGTATCGCGAGGGTAAGAACGATGTTAATGGGTAGCACGCTTGATAGAGGTGCGCATCTTGCACTCTAGAGGTTACATTACTCGGGGCAGCGGTAATTCCTCCCCCTCGTTCCCTTGTTGTCCGTGCTGCAGTAATGCGGTGGCGGGGGAGAGTGCGCTGGACCGACTGGCGTGCGGTCTCGGAGGAAAGACGGTCCTGCCTTATGTCACCCCAAGGATCGGCAGCATGTTGCCCAGCCGTGAGTCTCGGTTGACGTGGTGTTTGTTTTTGACTTTCCCCAAGTTTCCCACGCTGCCTATTACCTCATCCCCCACTGTAAATACAGACTTCAGACCTTCCTGTCGTGCTCTGCATTGATCAGTCACGGCCCCTTGAAACCAATTTTTCCACTTCTGTTGCTTGTTTCACCTGCAGCATAATCATCACCCCCCCCCTCCCATTTAGTCCTGGTTCCTGCTTCACGCGATGAAAGCACATTGTGGTCCAAATGTTTCATGTAAAAAAAAAAATTGCTTTGCCAATAATTTCATAAATGCATAGCAACATCGCCCCCTACTGTGAAAACTTTGCAGGACTCTCTTGAAAGCGTCCAGACTTGACACTTTATATATTTCTTCCTTTATATAATCCAATTGTGCTCTAATCCTCATGCTGTAATGAAACAAATATTGAGATTGAGATTGAGATCTCTTATCGCGAGCAGTATAATACCACTCTGTGTCACAGCACGGCCTCAGAAGATGATGTCCCTGCAACTGAAGTTCCTCATTTAAGACCCAAGACTTGAGGAATGATTCACAATTCTAGCTAATCACCTGGTGAAGTTGGTTGTAATCACTACCGAAATATCATTCTCGAATTGTTAATGTTGTGGGTTTACTCTCCAACACACCGGTGTGCTGAACTAGTAACTAACTAATTCAAATCAAGATCAAATAAAGATAGTAACTAATTGTCACATTTTCTTTACGTGATAAATTTTACTCATCGACTGTGTTGGGTGGTGGAAGGTTTAACGATACATCTATATTTACGCGATCTAACCCAAAAAAAACCTTTGGATAATACTGGTCGCGAAAGCCTCCTTTTTGATCTTCGTAGCCACACTAGGGTGCATGTCCAGCTCTGCGCCGAAACTGGTTGGTGCTGTTATCGCTGCCCCTGTGAGTTATTGGTGCTGCCCCTGGGGCTCCTTCTTGACTGGTCCCAGTACCTTTGTCCCCTGCGCTTGGCCTCAGTGGCCCTGGGGCCATGATGTGGTATTGCTCGCTCTCTCTCTCTCTCTCCCACGCGTCCCTGCCCCCACCGCCCCACACATTTCTCCCCCTTCCCTCATGTCGTCCGCTGGCATACGTGTGAAGCCTCTCAAGGTAACGGTTTGCCTCCGGACGAGACGTGACTTGAATATATCGTCGCTTGTCCATTGTGTAGAGGACTGGAAGCACCGGCATGCGGCCCTCATGGCTCTGTCGGCCATCGGCGAGGGCTGCCACCAGCAGATGGAATCAATGCTTCCCGAAATCCTCAACTACGTGTTGCCCTTCCTGAGTGACCCGGTGAGAGGCGGTGCTCCCGCGATGTCCCCCTGTGCCGCCACTGTGGCCATTAGCGCTGTCTTATTATAAGTAGGTGCCTGACAACTGTGTGGAGTGGAACCAGGTAGCGCTGTATATTCATCGATGTTGAACTTTCGTGCCGTACGTAACCGACCGTGCTCATTGGAGGTGCGATGAACTTTAGCACACTACGCTTTGAAAGTGGCAACGTGACTTGGATTCCCGGACACTGCCAACATGACGAATGATATATATGAACCGGTTCAGATATTTTTTTTTTCCACTGCTGCATGAGGGCCTCCCCCACGCTGTGTGGGTCGTGGGGGTTATTTGACCGTACTTCATGCTGATCAGTGTGGGTTGGTGAAGGCTGGGGGGACACGCACCTCCGATTAGCACGGTTGGCTACGTACGGTGCGAAAGAAGTTCAACATGCGCACACGCACACACATTGCACGTAGCGGCTTTTGGCCACCGCAAGATGTGCCAGCGATGCCAACGAGCGCTTTGTTTTGACCCGCGGACCCCCCCCCCCAGCATCCCAGGGTGCGCTACGCCTCGTGCAACGCTCTGGGGCAGATGGCCACCGACTTCGCGCCCACCTTCCAAAAGAAGTTCCACGACAAGGTGAGTCGCCGCTGAAATCGTAAACCTGTCTCGCCACGCTGCCCCGCACGCGTATTGACAATAGTCGGGGCCAGAAAGTCATTGGCACGTGGCGTGTGATAAGTCACTGTTGTGGACGTTATTGCCCAAGTTGGGTTCGTTTGCGTAAATGTAAATGTGTCTTCTTGGTTCTTTTGGTAAAGTCACGTAGAAGGGAAATAATAAAGTAATAAAAATATTACATAATAAAATACAAATAATAAAATAAAAAAAATTCAACGTAATAAAATAATAAAAATTGTATGTTTTATTATTACTATTTTATTATTTCCCTTCTACGTGACTTTACCGAAAGAACCAAGAAGATGAATCCCTGCAGTCACGAAAGCTTTAAATCGAAATGTAAATGTGTTGTTAACCCGCCACCACCCGATGGCACAGCCAATTAGTAATGTTTGTCACTTAAACAAAACGTGCCAATTAGTTGCTACTTCAGCACACCGGTGTGTTGGAGATGAAACCCACAACATTTGCAATGTGACTAGCGAAGTTTGAGCCATCTTACGAGAACCAGACTATGCTATCTTAGGATTATTTCTGATAAATTTGTAATGCCCAAGACTCCGAGGCAGACTTAACCACCTCTAATATTCTTCGGGTTGTTGTTAATTCCCCGAGGCTCATCGAGCCAGCCAGACTAAGACATTTTAATAATTCCTAAGGTTCGTTATGAATTTAGAAAGGCTCACAGAAATATTTTTTTACGAGTGACTAAGCCTTGGGATTGAAGTGCCCGTGCAGGAGTTGGCACTGCACTACGAGCTACAAACCCAGCGAGATATATTCCCGGCTGTGGCGAACATCAGTGTTATATCAACTGGTCCTGGACCTCCCCTCCATGCCCTGCTTAGCATGGGGAAGCCTTCATCCAGCAGTGGATTGACAAATGATTGTACATAGGCATGGGGAATCATCTAGTCATATGCAAAGAGTGTTTGGCACCATCGAAGGAGCTCCACTGCGTCTCTCATCCCAGGTCGTGTCCGGACTGCTCATGGCGATAAAGGACAACGACAACCCACGGGTGCAGGCCCACGCGGCAGCTGCCCTCATCAACTTCACGGAGGACTGCCCCAAGACGTACCTGCTGCCCTACCTGGACAGCCTCCTCGACCACCTGGAAGCCATCCTCAACGTCAAACTGCAGGAGGTGCCTCCTTGCGTGATCCTAAGTCCTAGGACTTTGAGTGCCTTTTGTTGGGCTGTAAATTCATCCCACGGGGAAAGAAAGTTCCCCACCCCATACCTTAGTGGTCTGCAGTGATGTGATCACCTTTTCTGCCCATTCATCTGTCCTTCCGTCCATTCCTTTCTGTCCGTCCCATCATTTGTTTGACCCTCCATTTGTCTGCCCGTCGCAGATGGTGATGAACGGGAAGAAGCTGGTGCTGGAGCAGGTGGTGACGGCCGTGGCGTCCGTTGCCGACACGGTGGAGGAGCGCTTCGTGCTGCACTACGACCGCTTCATGCCCAAGCTCAAGTTCATCGTTGAGCGCGCCACCGAGAAGGAGATGAGACTGCTGCGCGGCAAGACCATCGAGTGCATCAGCCTCATCGGCCTGGCCGTCGGGCAGCAGAAGGTACGGGGAAGGTCACAGGTGTCTCTCTAAATCGGGGGGTGGGGACGACCAAGGAAGACGTGGTCTGCTTTAAACGGCATCTGTAAGTTGCACGGCGCCTTCAGCCACTTGTGATAACACCAGTGAAAGATGAAAAGCAGCCAGCGTTGCTTGCACGCTATGAAAACACATTTTCCAGAAATTGCAGCCTCGGTCATTTTCTAGCAACCTCTCAACTGGCTCACAAAGCTCCACATCAAAATACAACGTGGCAATTCACACGCCACACGAAATAATCATAAGGGGTTGGGAACATATTCTTACGGAAGGTTGAATAGGACTCTAATTTCTTTTGATGGGCAATCGCACATTAACACACACACACCCCAGTCACTTCTGCCACTGCAAGAGGCTCTTGCAATATTACATTGAAAAAATACATTCCCTCCAGTACTAAATGACTGCTTATAGGATGCGTGAAGCGACAGATAAATATTTTATGCGTGGACCGTTTCAAAGTTTGTCGGACTCATGACAACAGGTCAAATTAAATAAATTCATCGGTCCTGCTCGGCGTCGTCACATCCTCGGTAATGAGCGAAGTAATTTTCACGTTCGGTCCGTGTTGTCTCCGTTTCGCCATCGTGCAGTTTATGGCTGACGCGGCGGCCGTGATGCAGCTGCTGCTGACCACACAGACGGAGTCGACGCAGCTGGAGGACGACGACCCACAGGTGCGACCAGAGCCCCAGTTCTTACGGAGAGGGTCCCTCGCCAACAAACATCGAATAGTTCGCCAGCATTGGTTAAGGCAAGCCTGACTGCTGATGAGACATCGAGTGTCGACAACAACCAGAGTTTGGCTTGTTTTGAACCAAATGCTGATGATAAAATGTATGTTTGTATGTTGAACTCCTTTTGCTGCCAAACGTTGCTCATTGAAGGTGCGGAATGCACTCTTACAAGGCCATGTGGTATGTTGTCCTTTCCCCGCACCTCCCAATTAGCATGGCTCTCCATATACAATGCGAAAGAAGTTCGGCATACAGACGACTGATGATTATTTTTGCTCCAATTTGACATTGAGGCGGTGCTCATTTCCTGGTTTACAACCCTGAGCCAATGATGACGATTACACATTCCTATGGCGGGGGGGGGAACATCTATTGATGGGAAACCACTGTTGACTTTCCCACAAGGTGGTACGCATTTTTAGCGACCCCGGAGATATGATGGCCTGAATGATGAACCCCCTTACCAATTGCGAACCGCTTGCTCGATCACTGAGCCACCCCACCCACACGTGCAAATCCTTGTTCTTATCCTGGGGCGGTGGTGTCTGTCGGCAGATCTCGTACATGATCTCGGCGTGGGCGCGGATGTGCAAGATCCTGGGCAAGGACTTTCAGCAGTACCTGCCCGTGGTCATGGGGCCACTTCTGAAAACCGCCTCGATGAAGCCGGAGGTGGCCCTGTTGGATGGTGAGTGTCGCCCGCCGAGACCTCGGCCTGCCTTGGTGGTGGCCCCGCTGTGAGGCGCGTTCAACCGCTCGTTGCGTAGGTTCGCGGTACAAATCTGACGGGCCACCCTGGTTAATACTGCTCCTGCTGCGTGTGTGTGAACCATAACTAAAACTACGCGCTGCCTGCTTCACAGGGGAACGTTAAATATTCCGTGACGTCATTAGAAAAAAAATAGTAAACCGTGCCGGCCTTTATAGGTGCTCGCTAACAGCACTTGCTCCAACAGTCTGTTAAAGGCTATATCATAAAAATAAACTATGCGCCGCCTGCTTCACAGTGGAAGGAGGCCGGTGTGAACTGGTCATTTGCTTTTGTCTTTCAGCCCAGGACATGGAGGAGATGGAGGACGACAGCTGGGAGTTTGTGAGCCTCGGAGACCAGCAGAGTTTCGGGATAAAGACGGCCGGCCTCGAGGAGAAAGCCACCGCCTGCCAAATGCTGGTGCGCAAAACTAGAATGGAAAACTGTTTGAAACTTTTTATTTTATCAGGTAAGGCTCGCCGAGCTATACAGCTCTTTTTCAGAAGCGTTCTTGGCCACAAATGATAGCTCAACTCAGTGGCTTATTATGTGGACATTTACAGCAGCCAAATACATATGTGGAGGGAAAAACCAGAGGACCCGGAGACAATTCCACGTGACCATGGGGAGAAACTGCAAATGCTACATATACAGCAGGTGTCAGGATCGAACCCACGACCTCCTGTTTAGACCCACGACCTCCTGTATATTATGGATACTCCTGTATAGATGTTTCCAGACCCCAGTTTCCAGCCTACCATCTCTTTCAAGTAAAAACAATGAAGATTGTTACGTCTTCTGTTACTGCCTCGGTTTTCGTGGTCGTGCAGTGCAGCTCTCCGATGTCTTTTCCGGTCGTACCGCCACGTGATGTCCGACGTTTTGTTCCACGTGTTCGGATCGTCTTCGGTAACTCAATGGAGCAGCTCAAGATCTCCCCCGGTTATATGTTACGATGTTTTTGTTATTTATATTTAGTTACTTGCTTAGCTCTTTCTCTAATTTTCACTCCTATTGTGTTTATTTGTATTGTTCGCTGTTGTAACTTGCTGAGCCGCCCATACTGGGCCATCTGTGAAATAGAGCTTCATAGCTCATCGGATTTTTTCTGCAGTCTAAAAATAAAGATTCTGATGTAGTAGTATACTCTTTTTTTTCGGTAAAGTTACGTAGGTAAAAAATAATAAAAATGAAAACAACTAAATTAAATCACGACGTTTCGAAAGCAACACAAGCCTCCGTAGTATTTGTCGGCTGCTGCTGGCGGCGTCTGATGAAGGCCGACCTACACGTAGTACAACCCGGAAACACCTCGGAGAGGTCTTCTCTTAGTCTTTAGGTTTTTTGCGGTAAAGTCACGTAGGTAAAACAAAATTAAATAATATTAAATGTCCTTTGCCCAATGGCAGGTCTTTGACTCAAACTCTCCCCCCATTCTGGCCATTGTTGAGGTATCTGCTGATTTCATGATACGACATCCCTCTTCATTCAATTCGTCAAGCAGCGTCTTTATTTTTCTGCCTCTTGGTCTCTTTCCAACATCATTCTTAGAACTTCATGGAACTTTCACATCTGAGGTTGAAAACTCATTTCTTTACAACTGATTTTTGCGTGTTAGTTTATTTTCCTTCTCCCCCCCCCTGCACCTACGATTAGTGTGGTTGGCTACATACGGTTGAACATACACGTACATACAATCCACGTGTTTATCTTTGTTGTCTGCATTGTCAAGTCTCGGCGATGAAATTGACCGACAGCCACCTGGTTTTGTTTTTCTCTGTGCGTCTCGTCGTGGGGTCCCTTAGGTTTGCTACGCGCGCGAGCTGAAGGAGGGCTTTGCGGAGTACACGGAGCAGGTGGTGAAGCTGATGGTCCCGCTGCTCAAGTTCTACTTTCACGATGATATCCTCACAGCCGTGTTCACGCAGCGCAATCAATAGTTCTAGAGCAGTGGTTCTTTACCTGGGGTGCAAGCAACCCCCTGGAGGTGGAGATACCCTTTATGAGGAGTGCTAGACATGCCAGACTTGTTTTAGAAGGTAAATCATCGAAAGACAAATTAAGCACGGACACATAAGTACAGCTACTTTGTTTTGATCAAATCTATGTATTTAGTAACGTAATTTTTTTACGCTTGAGAACCAAAGGGGTGCAAGGCTGCAGTAAAGGTTAAGAACCGCTGGTCAAGAAGTCAACAGCGATTTCCTGCTTAGATGAGCACTAAGGCAGTACTCATCTCCTGTTTAAAGCCCTCGGCCAGTGGTTGAGATTCCAAACGAATGAACACTTATTTATACCTGGTAGGAACCTCCTGGTTACACCAGCCCACGGGGGATTATTGTGTCCGTCCGTCGTGCAGGGAGGGGCTGGATGGGGAGGGAGGGGCTGGGTGGGGAGGGGCTGGTCACCCCGTGGTGCCCTTATAAAACTCAACGTTTAACCTACTCACGCCGGCTTGTGCCCGCCCTCACAGTCGGGCATATTTGCGGAATACACCACGCCGCCGTTGACCCTGGCCATTGACTGAGCAACCCGACGTTCCTACTAGCTTCCCTCCGCAGGAATGTGTTAACCCCTTCAATGGCTCTGTTTCTGGCCACATTACAGTTTGGGCATTTGGTGCCTGTGTTCGGCAAGCGCCATTTAAAAATACAAACTGGTTCACCGGAAACTTTCCTTGACTTTCATTTATTTTGGGGATTTTTTTAATATCTCCGCGCGTGGATTTCTCCTCTGCGGCACGCGTGCGCATGGCTGCGGCAGAGTCCCTGCCGCTGCTGCTGGAGTGTGCGCGTATCCGCGGCCCCGAGTACCTGGCCGAGATGTGGCACTTCATGTGCGGAGACTTCATCAAGGCCATCGGCACCGAGCCGGACTCCGACGTCATCTCGCAGATCATGGAGTCCTTCGCCAGGGTGCGACGAGCCACACTTATCAGCCCCCCCCCCTCTAACACCCGGTCACAATCCCATTAACCAATCTTAATTTAAATAGCGCGCTTCACGTGGGCGTGGTGACACGGCCCAGCGTTAGCGCGTTCGCCGCTCGCATGCCTGTGCGTCACCTGCGGATGTTGAAAGATTCCAGTGAGGTCATTGAAAGAAGAGTAGGCCATTGCGTACCGGCATCATGGTCTACATTAGCCAAAATAAATTAAAATATGTATACCTCGATTTAAAGCTTTCGTGACTGCAGGGATGTCATCTTGATACTTCAGGTAAGTCACCCTAGCAAAACGAAATAATAAAACTAAAACATAATAAAATAATTCTCACGACGTTTCGGCCACAACGCAAGCAGCCGTCCTCAGGTGGAGAAGAGGTCTGTCGAGAACTCGGACTCTGTTTTCTCGACAGACACGTGTGGGACCATAATGGGATCGTGCTGTGTCTGCTCCACCTTTTACAATTGCCCTGTACCCCCAGTGTGTGGAGCTGATGGGCGAGGGATGTCTTGACAAAGAGCACTTTGTGGAGCTTGGGAACATCCTGAAGGCAAAGTTGGAAGAGCACTTTAAAAACCAGGAGCTCAGACAGGGTGAGGCATCTTGTGGGTCCACATTAACTATTACATTGACTTCTGGTTACTGAACGAATACATGATAAGGTTGCACTCATTACACATAATGTGCCAAAATGAACCACAATAAATTTCGATTTAAAGCTTTCGTGACTGCAGGGATTCATCTTCTTGGTTCTTTCGGTAAAGTCACGTAGAAGGGAAGTAATAAAATAATAAAAATAAAACATAAAATAATTCTCACGACGTTTCGGCCACATCGCAAGCAGCCGTCCTCAGGTGAAGACCAGGTCTGTCGGGGAGACGGCGTCTGTCGGGGAGACAGCGTCTGAATTCAGACCAGGTCTGTCGGGGAGACAGCGTCTGAATTCAGACGCTGTCTCCCCGACAGACCTGGTCTTCACCTGAGGACGGCTGCTTGCGTTGTGGCCAAAACGTCGTGAGAATTATTTTATTATGTTTTATTTTTATTACTTTATTACTTCCCTTCTACGTGACTTTACCGAAAGAACCAAGAAGATGAACCACTATCTTGCTGATCTCGTCAAGGAGCGTAAACATACTAATATAGGATCACAGAGCATGGGCAATTATCGGCCACAGTTCTGGAGTTCTGGCTTTTCATTCTTGCCCGTCTGGTTTCCCGTGCCTCTTCGAAAAACCGCACGTTACAAATTCTGCAGGGTTCATAGATGCAATTTGCATGACTAAAGCTATAACATAAAACAAACATGAATGATCATTTGATTATTTCGACGTTTTTTTCACGCAGAAAAGAGGAAGGACGAAGATTACGACGAACAAGTGGAAGAGACATTACAAGACGAGGTAAATCCAGTTAATTATAATTACGCCCGCACCTCCGATGAGCACAGTTAGCTTCTTGCGGTGCAAAAGAAGTTCAGCATACAGATGTAATACGAGAGTTCACCGACGATCAGTGGGATAGGCTCCGCTGCTTGAGCCATCACCCAATCAGAGGGATGAACCGAAGTTAGGGGCGGAGCTTAAAGTCTCTGTGGAAGTAACCATCTAGAAGGATCGTGAGGGGGGCGTGTCTGTAGGCGGGGCTTGGTGACGTAGGTCAGGGGATATAAGGGAAAGCGGAAGAGAGCTCGGGGTCGGTGTGTGGAGTCAGAGAGCGGGACCACGTTGCCCGGGACGCCAGCGGCCACGTGTCGGGCTGGAGGCTTCCTCCTTGCGAGCCGACTGTCAGCGGCGCGTGGGAGAGGTTGTGAGCGAGCCGACGCGAGGGACAACATCTAACCGCGCGGGAACGGGAGTGCAGCCGCGTCGGAGAGAGAGCGCGGAGCTGTCCAGCTGTGAAGGAGGGAATAAGCAATAAAGAAGACACAACTTTTTGGTTCTTTCGGTAAAGTCACGTAGAAGGGAAATAATAAAATAATAAAAATAAAACATAATAATATTTTATTATTTCCCTTCTACGTGACTTTACCGAAAGAACCAAGAAGATCAATCCCTGCAGTCACGAAAGCTTTAAATCGAAAATAAAGAAGACACAAGTTCCAGATGATAGTCACAGTGGTTTGTTACACATACAGATGTCATGACCGAGGCAGCAGACCACTCACCTGAGGCAAGCGTACGGGCAGACGGACAGTCAGAAAGTAGGCCAAGGCCTCCTATTGGTGCATAGAGGCCTCCAAATTGATTGGTCGGGAGGCAAGGTTCAAAAGGATTGGAGGAGAGATTCAAACTTGAAAGTCGGGGAAGCGAGGGTTGATGAGAGAGGCGACGCTCGACAACCGTTGGTGGAGGAGGACGAGGATTGGCCGAAAGGAGTGGGGCGAGCGATGCTTAGAGAGAGAGAGTGGTTCAAATGGTATTAAAGGGGTGAGCACAAGGGGGAGGGGAACGTTCAGGGGACAATGCGAGCTTCAAGCATCAAGGGAGAAGCCCCGGGCCTAGTGTTGGTGCTGTGTCCAATACGAGGCTCCGAGTAACAACGTGTCGGCGTTTTTACACACACATGCCACACTGGACTGTCCTTAACCGTGATGGAATTATCCGTGGGGAGGTACGTTGACCTCCATAAGTGGGGAATTAATTTACGTCGGTTTTTGTTTTTCACGTCCTGGAATAGTTTGTGTTCCTGAAACGAGTGGGGTATTAAAATGTCACCGATTTGCATTTCGCCGTGCGCAGGATAACAGCGACGTGTACACGCTCAGCAAAGTGTCCGACATCCTGCACGCCATCTTCACTTGCTACAAGGAGACGGTGCTGCCCTGGTTCGACCTCTTTCTCCCGCTCATCGTCAGCCTCATCGTACGTATGCCACCTTGGACTCCTCAACTCAAGTGCTTCGCCTGTGCGTCTTTTTCCATCGTACGACTGAGCCGTGCCATGCTGTGCCGTGCCGGCTCGGGTGGCTCAATGTTTTTCCACTGAAAGCCGAGCTCTGCCGACAACGTCGCACGCAACAAACGTGTCGTTAGCCTCCACCCCTGGCCCTGCTTGGCCCCAAGCCAGCTTCGGTTGTCTTGTGAGACCAGCATTGCACAGTTTCGTTGTTTACAGCTTGGAACTGCAAAGAGCCAGTAGATAACCAACCGAGCCTTTGAGGCAATGTGCCGGCTTGGTTTCGGATATGCCGCAATCGGTCAACAGGGCTCGCATAGTATTTCTGCCAGGGAGATTTTTGAAACCCTGTGATTAATTTAACATTGTTTCCATAGGATAAGTCTCGATAAACAACATATCCATATTCTAAAGTTCTGTTCATGTTGCCGCTGCTGCTGTTACAACCAGGACCGAAACCGTCCGTGGGCCGACCGCCAGTGGGGGTTCTGCGTGTTCGACGACCTCATCGAGTGCTGCGGCCCAGCCTCGCTCAAGTACTCGGAGTACTTCCTGCGGCCCATGCTGGAAGGCGTATGCGAGTCGAGCGCCGAGGTGCGGCAGGCAGCCGCGTACGGTGTGGGCGTGATGGCGCAGCACGGAGGGCCCGGCTATGCCCCGGCCTGCACTGGTAACTAAAACTTTTAAAATTGTTTTAAATGTTTTTTTTTATTTTACCGGGTAAATGCCCACTGGGCTATATAGCTCTTGTTTTAGAAGTGAACTGGCTATCACAAATGATAGCTCAACGAAGTAGCTTATCATGTGGGAGTTTATCACAGCCAACTGGAGGGAGTTTAAGAAGTTTACAACTCACCAGGCACAAAAAATAATATATCCACAATTAATGTAAAATAAAATGATTTCTAAAATAAAAAAAAGTAAGAAGCAAACTTGAGGAATATCGGTCCCTTTAATTTATATAATAAGCAAAGTAAATAAAATAAACATGAAAGTATTAAATCATAGTTTGGAAATAAACTTACCTTAAATTATGATGCTGCTACGCACCATCACTTTATCTCCCATCACTTTCTCTCCCATCACTTTCTCCCCCATCACTTTCTCTCCCATCACTTTCTCTCCCATCACTTTCTCCCCCATCACTTTCTCCCCCATCACTTTCTCTCCCATCACTTTCTCTCCCATCTTTTTCTCTCCCGTCACTTTCTCTCCCATCTTTTTCTCTCCCGTCACTTTCTCCCTCATCACATTCTCTCCCATCACATTCTCTCCCATCACTTTCTCTCCCATCACATTCTCTCCCATCACATTCTCTCCCGTCTTTTTCTCTCCCGTCACTTTCTCTCCCATCACTTTCTCTCCCATCACTTTCTCTCCCATCACTTTCTCTCAATGCAGTCGTGTAGAGTACCGAATGCGATGCACGGACAGCAAGTTCGTGAATAACGATGGAATACCGCAACATACTTCTGTACTACTACAATTCAGCTTCCCACCGTCATCAACCCACGCTGACCAGTGTAGCGAAATATTTAATTATTCTTATCATTGCGCTTTGTCTACCTGGGAAAGCCTTCCTGAGCATTGTGACTTTTTTCAGGAGTAATTGCTATGCGCTTCCCAATTTAAGTAATTTGCAAGCATTTATTCAAACTAGACAAATTTGCACCATGACGCCAGGTTGTATGTATGTTGAACTTTTTTTGCACCATACATAGCCAACTGTGCTAATACGCACAACTCACATGGCATAGGGAATCCTTAATCCAGCAGTGCATTGACAAAGCACCGCAAATGCGTGCATTTTATGGCCAACAAATACCTCTATTTAAAGCTTTCGTGACTGCAGGGATTAATCTTGGTTCTTTCGGTAAAGTCACGTAGAAGGGAAATAATAAAATAATAACATAATAAAATACAATTCTCACGACGCTTCGGCCACAACTCAAGCAGCCGTCCTCAGGTGAAGAACAGGTCTGTTGGACGCTGTCTTTCCGACAGCCCTGTTCTTCACCTGAGGACGGCTGCTTGCGTTGTGGCTGAAACATCGTGAGAATTGTATTTTATTATGTTTTATGTTATTATTTCATTATTTCCCTTTTACGTGACTTTACCGAAAGGAACCAAGAATAAAAAAAAATACCTCTTGTCATTGTACACCCACCACACAACTAGACGCGTGACACTCTCCAACAATCCTGCCCTCTGCTGTGCCTTTCCTTATCCATGCAGAGGCACTGGGACTGCTAATGCAGGTGATTCAGGACTCGCAGTCTCGCGTCAAGGAGAACATCAACGCCACGGAGAACTGCATCTCGGCCGTGGGGAAGCTGCTCAAGTTCCGGCCGGACTGCGTCAACACGCAGGAGTTCCTGCCGCTTTGGCTGTCCTGGCTGCCGGTCACCGAAGACAAAGAGGAGGCCGTGTTCTGCTACAACTACCTCTGCGACCTCATTGAGAGGTACGTACACATATATGCATGTTGAACTTCTTTCGCACCATCGTACGTAGCCAACCTTGCTGATCGGGGGTGCGGGGGAAGGACAACAAACTATGGGTTTCTGTGTCAGTCTATGTGTCTGTGTGAGTGTGTACAGAATTTTTTACTTATTTTGCACCACCGTACGTAGCCAACCGTGCTAATTGGAGGTGTGGGAGAATGTCAACAAACTAAGCACAAAAAGCGAGTTCTAAAGAAATGCGTTTTCAGTTTAGATGTAAAAGTGCATAGCTCCAGTGGCTTCCTACTATCGGAAGGAAGAGCGTTCCAGACGGCCACAGAAGCGGGGGGTTCAGGAACTGGGGCGAGTAGGGCAGGCTTGGGGGGGGGTACCTATTGAGGAATGAACAAATTATTTGGTGATACTGCGTTGACAGTGGTGCTCCACCAGTGCAAATAGTAATTAAAAACAATTCGGCACATTTGTCAGTAACACTGCCTTAAAAATAAAGATATTTTACAGGAGACATTTCAGGCAGTGGCGCTCACAGCCCAATGTTTTGAGGACTAGCTCTACCAGACTGACCGTTTTTTTGTTGTCCACACTTTGTTCAAACACACCTGCTTTGCCCGCATTGCCCGGGCAGTAACAACCCGCTGGTGCTGGGCCTCAACAACGCGAACCTGCCGAGCATCCTCGCCATCATCGCCCAGGGGGTGGCCAACGAGGCGACGAGTGAGGACGCTGCCTGCACGTCGCGGCTCGTCAGCGTCGTGCGCCAAGTGCAGGTGCGTGCGTCCGCGCGTGCGCGCACGCCACACCCGTGATTGTCCAATCCTCGTGCAATGCAATCCCATATCACTGTCGAGATGGCGCTCGCCATTTTCAAGAGAGTTCAAGTTCATTTATTAGGTATAGCCCTGTGAGCCTATTCGGCTCTTGAATCGGGTGCAACCGCAATAAACAAAAAAGAAAAACATGAACAAGAAAACTGCTTAAAGTGAATATGTGACTAAGTGAAAACAGAAAATCCAAGAAAAGACAGCAAAATATTGCAGAAAAAGCACCGTACACCAACGCTGTGTGCAAAAATCCCAGTGGGGATGCAAGTCAAACAACAACAAGATCCTCCACAGTGCAAACTCGCTTACACATCACACCAGGTACTCGGTTAAGAATCGGTCGACCCGAAGCGAGAGGCCCTGGACTGGTTCAGATATCATTTGGCACCGATGTTCACCATGGCCAAGAAATCAAACGGATGTCGCCGGATTCGTAGCGCAGTGCGCTCACTACTCTGCCGCCGCTCCCCCCCCACCACCATGCCCGTTATTTTCCATTCGTAACCCGCTGTGGCCCTGTTAATAATGTTCACATTATTGGTTGTCTCGCGCAGGCATCCGGAGAGCTGTGGGCCGCCTGCCTGTCGCAGCTCGACAAGGAGCAGCAGCAGTTCCTTGACAGCCTCCTCAGTGCAGCATGAGCAAATGGGCACGCGCGCCCACGCACACGCACGACCACAGGCACCGCACCGCATGCACGCACACAGAGGGTGTACCTTAGGCTTGGGGGGGGGGGGCGCTGAACGATGCGCCGTTATCACCGTGCCCCTCCTAGCTTGCGGAGTGGCGCTCAACCCCCGGAGGGGCGCCCGTTGTCTGTGCCCCCCTGCGACATATTTGCACGCGCGGCGGATTGGCGGTTCGGGCCGCTGATCTCGCCGCGCGAGTTAGTTGGTTGCATTGGTTGAAGTAGCGTTCACGCGGCCCAACCCACCCTCCCCACTGACATCCAACCCAGTTGGCTTTGAAGGTTCCCTTTCATTCGAAGGCTCTTTGAGTTGTGGGGTGTGCTCGTTTGCTCCAAGGCTCAAGTGGTTCGTTCGCAGCAAGTCGGCAATCAAACAATAAAGCAGCAGCAGCTCTTCAGGAAGAGAGAAAATTGTGAAAATGTTGTCCTGGCCAAAAATTGCATCTCACAGCTAAAGGGGGGAGGGGTGAGGGAGGTCAAGTGTTGTTAGGGCCAAAGTGGGGACTATCCCCAACACCCCCTGCACTCCCACGTATAATGTTATTACGACTGCATCCATGACTCCCAATTTATATTTAAAGTGTAATGCGACTGCTACCAATTCTATTTTTCATTGTTGGGGAGTCAAAACCGCTATTGGAATTCTGACTGTGTCACTGCATTCCCCCCTCTGAGTCTTTTCCTCCCTCTGTCTCGAGCCCGCTGCTTATTCTGCTGCTGTGTGTGGTTCCAAGACACACTTATGTATAGTAATGTTTTGCCCTTGCTGCAATGTGAACCATGTGATTGAATCGGCCTTAGCTCGGATAACTTTACTGCATAGGTTATTTCACTCTGTGTAATTTAGATTTTGATTTCCAGTTGCAATGTTTGTTAACTAATAAAAAAAAATGTTTAACTAAATGGGCATTGGATTTCAACGGTTGAGTGGAGAGTGCATCAACGGCTGTCCTTTCGCCCCTTCCTCAAGACCACCACCGTCTTGAAGTGAAATAACCTGACCAACCACTTCCATGCTGGGAGATACACAGCTGCAGCCTTGGTTAAAATGTTACTTTGATCGGCAAGGCAGTTTTACACATGTTCCTCTTGAATTATCCATCGGTCCATACTCAATTCAGAAGTGGAACGCACACAAAGGATGCTCTTCACTATAATTATTACTCCACACGTGCATATTGTGGAGGTATTATTTGTAGCATGGAAGTCGTATAGAAGTATGTTCTGATTAAACATTTTTTCGTAAAATGTGGACTGTCTGCCCATAACCAATTTTTTGTCCGGGTGTGTATTACATGACCACAAGCACTCAACACGCGGTGAACGTCTCCAAATTGACTTAAATATATTTTTTAAAACCCAGTGCGACGCAACGTGGAATCTTGTGTAGTTTACTCTGTTTCCACATCTCTGGTGTCCTGGTTTCGATTATCCATCCTTCAGTTGTCCTCCCATCTGGCAAGGCACAAGTGGTGCTGGAGGAAATGTATTTGCAAAGATGTCTTGACTCCTGAGTTTATCACCCCCGCACAACTTAATTCAACTTTAGTGGTGATTTTCGAGAGTTTTTCACCTGCTTAAGATAATATATTTCTTGTTACCGTGTAAGGCATTATATTTAGAGATTTGGCAGTTTATTTTGAGCAGCAAATGTGCACCTTTGCTTACAAGGTACACTTTGGTCATCCAAATACAGCCCTTAAATTATCCGGAATGTCGTTTAAACATCTGTGGAGCGATCCCATTTTAAAAGGAAGAACTTTATTTTTAATCACAGTACAAATACTAATTATAGCCTAGGCCACGGCTTGTGGCAAGTACGCAAGAAAACATTTATTTTAGTTCATTCCTCTTGAGGGGAAGAGTAACGTTAAGAGGGGTAGCGATGTTAAAATAGAAGGGGGGAGGAAAAATAAATGGAATTGGAAATGGTGATCGCATTCTGAAAGTGCCAGTGTTGTGGGTCTCTGCTAGATCGACGGCATGCATGTTGCCTGGAAGTGTGCTGTGTCGTTGCAGCCACGGGTGATTTAGGAATTTGTTTTGGTCTATCCTTGTAAAGGGTTTTTGGATTAAAGCCCCCTCTTAGTATCTTGGTCCTCAAAAACTTTGTGTGTGTCCAGCGTTCGTTGTTTACCCGTCTTAAACATTGACCGAGGTGTGAGCTGATATATATTTTTTGTGAGCCGGATGGTACGGCGATTGAAGGTAGCAAATACAATGTGTATTTGTGAATGTCAGAAAGAAAAAAAACGATACAATGTGTATTTGTGAATGTCAGAAAGAAAAAAAACGATAGGACAAACTTACCACTGTTTGGGAGTTTTCCCGTCTTTGTGACTCGTAGTGACGGATGGGTCTGTGAATCCTAAAGTGTTCTGTTTAAAGTCTTCGAGGGGCTTCGAAGCCAAATGGTTTTTAATCCGTATATATGCTACGACCAGAGGTGAAACATTAATTCCGCTGACAAAACGCTGTCAATTCAGCCTTCCGTGTGAGGCTTTACTCTCAGACTCGGTGGCGAGAGGTTTTGAATGAATGTAACCCTACGACTTAAAACATACAACCTGCCTAATTAACATGCTGAACGGTATACATTCTGCTGGAAACTGTTGGGCAAATGCACGCCCTGTTGATGCGTTTTTGTGTTTGTGATCAAACGGCTCATTTGTGTGTTGTACTTGTTAACGCTAAGCTAAATAAACACACGGTTGACACTGTAATTTAATGGATGTTAGGATTCGGTAAGATGCATATTTTTTTCTGAATCTTGATCCTTCAACGTGACTTCTGCATCTCCTCAAGTCCGACGCATTTGTAAGTCATCCCAATGTTTTTGGTTTAATGGCTCTCATGACCCAAATCTGACACCTTATATATATTTTGTTCTTCATATAAACCTTTTCGCTAGTCCCCGTCCTGCTCATTCTGTTCTAGGAAATTGCATAACAGGTTGACCACAGTTTTAAATTAATATTTTATTAAATCCGTTAAATTCCTCGGTTTATTGCTTTAAAAAAAACCCTAAATCAATGCTGGCTTTCCCAATACGCGTTGAGATTGTTAATTTAAATCCGTGAGTCCAGATGAGATTCCAGTTGTGGGTGCCACTAGAAGTGGCATAACTGTCAGCGTTTACACTTTCTTTGCACGGCCCTCTATAAGAGTGAATGATTGTGGGTCATTAAACAATTCACTCTTAATTATCTATAATATTCACTGAAGTTTTACTCACGTAGGTGAGTACCGGTTTACGCACTTGGCCCGTGGGCCGCGTGTGTCGGAACGACAAAGAACTGCAAAAAGATGGATTAATTTAATATAAACATTTCTTTCGAAACAGTCGCTTAGCAAAATGCGTATAACGTTCATCCATCCATCATCCATCTTATGGATGGGCGCTGAGAATATTAAAAAAAACAAAGGGCAGCGAGGTTCACCGGTTAAAGTTCACGAGGCACACGCACGCACATGTCCTGTTCGGCTGCGTGCAAGGCCGTTCAATCCATAACGGAAACCGGTGGCAATCTTGTATCGCTTCCATGCCCTCCTCCAGCTGACGGCATGTGTTGACAATAAACCATGTTTGTATGCTGCACTCTTCTTCGAGCTGCGGCTCTGTGTCAAGTTGGGGTTCTTTTTTCACGATTGATTTTGTGTTTAAATCCTTTCTGGAATTTGTTTTTCTCCCCCCCCCACGTGTTGTGTTCACGGGAAAGCTGCCGCCTAAACAGACACTAATCCTCGTGCTATGTTTGGTTTACGAGTTAAAAGTAGAATTATGCCCTCCCCCCCTCTACCCTACCACTGTTGCGCAACTTTGCTGTTGACACGGGTCGTATTCCACGGATTGCAAGACGTTGTGGAAAGTCAAAACGTGCCCCAAACTTGAGCCCGCTGTCAATAAGGTTTTATATACATCGTACACACAACCCTTACCGGATAATGAGAACTGGGTTGAAATGCCGACCAAACAAAAATGCGTCTTATAATCCGGAGAATACGGAAAAGTAAAAATCTAATTTTGTTTTCCTCCTGCAAGTGATGCGGTAAATCGCACACAGTGACCGGGCAATGACACATTTTTGCCGCTACGGGTCGTGTTCGGGCTCTAAAAAAATCGTTTTGGAAGTGATGCATTGCTATCATATTTTATTTGTACGTATTGCTCGTCCATATGGAAAGACATGCATTAAATAAATAAAGAAATCGATAGAATTACGGTGTATATCACTTGTATCGGGATACGTTATGAGCAGCAGAGGTCAGAGCAGAAGAATCCATGTCTGTGTAATAACCACGGAAATTCTAGATTTGATGTTTTCGTGACTGCAAGGATCCACCCTCTTGGTTCTTTCGGTAAAGTCACGTAGGTAAAGAAAATAAAATATACAAATAAATCACGACGTTTTGGATGCATCAGGTGGGAGCAATCACAGAAAAAAACAGTTGCTGAAATAGGCCTATTTCAGCAACTGTTTTTAGCTGTGATTTTTTTCTTTTTTTTTCTTTACCTACGTGACCGAACCACGGAAATACAGCTTCCTACTTCGTGATATTTCTATATTAGTGTTTGCAACCGCTCACAAAATAATAAAAGAACCGGCTGACGACCTAAGTTAAGAGTAGGTGTGTGTGTGTAAACGCTTAACCCAATGTCCATTAAAAAAAACAAAGATATCAATTATAATTAAACTGCTACGTAAAACCGCTGCTCACCCGCTTCCCTTTAAATCCAAACCCCTCCACATCCTGGTAGCACCCTCCCCCCCTTGTTATCTACCCATCCCTATTCATAACCCCTCCAATCATCATTCCCGCACTCCCTGATTACAAACCCATACCCCCTGCATCACCACCCAACCAGCCCCCCACAGATACCCACGCCTTCCCAATCACCCACCCATTCCAGCCAAACAAAAGCAATCACTAATTTAAACACCACATCTCCCCCACCACCACCACCACCTCTTTATCGGTCACTATAGTTGTACTGCACTCCGCCAATCACGTGACCTAAAATATAGCACTGTGGAGACGAGGGTTGGTGGACCACACAAGTGTCACAGCCCCCTTTTGCTTACTTCAGCAATTGTTTCTTGCTGTGGTTGTCCCACCTGATGACGGACGCTTGTGTGTGCGCCCGAAACGTCGTGATTTAATTTATTTTATACCCACGTGACTTTAACGAAAGAACCAAAGAGGATGGATTGTGAAGGAACCCAAGGAGCGTCCATTGTTTCAACTCGGGAATCTTGATTCAGACTGCAGGAGGAATCCGATGAGCTATGAAGCTCTTTTCCCCACAGACGGCCCGGTATGGGCGGGTCAGCATAGCTACAACAGCGAGAAATACAGAAGAAAAAATACCCATAGCAGTGCAAAATAGAGGGGGAAGGGTGAGTAAGTCACTAAATATAAGTCGATTTAAAGCTTTCGTGACTGCAGGGATTCATCTTCTTGGTTCTTTCGGTAAAGTCACGTAGAAGGGAAAAAACACAATACATTTTATTACGTTTTATTTTTATTATGTTTTATTATTTCCCTTCTACGTGACTTTACCGAAAGAACCAAGAAGAGAAATATAAGTCGATTATACATTAATAATGTGTCACGCCGGGAGATGGAATTGAACCGGCGGACCTCTGGCTTAGCAAGTCGAGTGCCCCGACTTTGAACCACGACAGACTATCCCTCGCATGCAACGTGACACACCGAACGCACATTTGGTGGCGCTTTCCGTTCACGTCTCGTTCATTAACGCGTGCTCACCTCCCTGCGAAAGAAGCCCCGCTCACTTCCCTGCGAAAGAAGCCCCGCAACACGACGCGCTGTGTTCTGCATGATACGTCGTCTGGTGCGTGTGCGTGCGGCTGTATCAACATATCAAAGCACCCTACAATGTACGCGCGACGCGGGGCATTCATAAGATCAAACATTACGCATAGAAATTAAAAGAAAAGCACATCATAGGAAGAGCCATCAAACGCCCACCCACTCTGCGTGGTGGTTATAACCCTTGCCGGCAGAACATTAAAGGGCCGATTGATGTCTTTCTAAGCCAGGTAGAGATGCCTTTTGCGCTTCGCTCACGTTTTGAAAGGGAACGCCACCAAATGCAGCTACCCGATGGAAATCAATCACGCCGCCTCTCCTTTGGGGCCGTCCATAAATGATGTCACGCGATTTTGGACGATTTTTGACCCCCCCCCCCCCCTCGTCACACGGCGTCACAAAAAGTCAGACCCCCCCCCCTCAAATATGACGTCACAAAGCTCTGCCCCCCCCAAACCATATTTCCTTTTTGAAAATAAAACATGCTTCAAATCGCTTTAAACTATTGTCATTGTAGTGCGTGTTTAATGTGGCGCTGCACTTTGATGTCGGAGAAACATTTTATTACAAAGTATATTTAATTAAGCAGAACGTGTTGTCTATATTTATTTAAAGTTGCGCATTTTAAAATGACGTCACATTTCTCAACCCCCCCCCCCTCGTCACACATCGTCACAAATGTCTGACCCCCCTCCCCCTATGTGCGTGACGTCATTTATGGACGGCCCCTTACGAGCCCGGTGACGGTGGTAGTAGCTACGCGCGCCTTTAATACTGGTAGGAACCTCCTGGTTACACCAGCCCACAGGGGATTATTGTGTCCGTCGTGCAGGGAGGGGCTGGGTGGGGAGGGAGGGGCTGGGTGGGGGGTGGGAGGGGAGGGGCTGGGTGGGGAGGGTGGGGCTGGGTGGGGAGGGGAGGGTGGGGCTGGTGGGGAGGGTGGGGAAGGGGCTGGGTGGGGAGGGGCTGGTCACCCCGTGGTGCCCTTATAAAACTCAACGTTTAACCTACTCACGCCGGCTTGTGCCCGCCCTCAGTCGGGCATATTTGCGGAATACACCACGCCGCCGTTGACCCTGGCCATTGACCGAGCAACCCAACGTTCCTACCAGCTCCCTCCGCAGGAATGTGTTACAGGCCTGGAGGCGAGGAATGATCACGCACATGCTGTAAGAAACTCCCTGATCCATGGGAGATCGAGGTGCCATACCCTGGCTCGCCAGGGGAAGGCGACAAAGCGAATGTGGACTACCCCTACCCCCCAACTCTTCGATCTGTGTTGGATTAAGTGTTAAGGGCCGTCCATAAATGACGTTACGTACCTAGGGGAGGGGGGGGGGGGGTCAGACATTTGTAACGATGTGTGACGAGGGGGGGGGGGGGGTTGAGAAATGTGACGTCACATCAAAATGCGCAACTTTAAATAAATATAGACAACACGTTCTACTTAATTAAATATACTTTTTAATAAATGTTATCTCCTACAACATCAGAGTGCAGCGCCACATTAAATACGCACTACAATGACAATAGTTTAAAGCGATTTGAAGCATGTTTTATTTGGGGGGGAGGGGGCAGAGCTTTGTGGCGTCATATTTGAGGGGGGGTCTGACTTTTTGTGACGATGGGGGGGGGGGGGGGTCGAAAATCGTCCAAAATCGCGTGACGTCATTTATGGACGGCCCTTTGCCCCCTCGCACACTTGGGTTCACACCGGGGCGCCCCGGTCTCCTCCAACTTGTACATTCTCTGTCTTTCGTACGGCTGATGTACAGTGAGGGGAAAAGTATTTGATCCCCTGCTGATTTTGTACGTTTGCCCACTGACAAGGAAATGATCAGTCTATAATTTTAATGGTAGGTTTATTTGAACAGTGAAAGACAGAATA